TATTATTATTATTATTATTATCATCATCATCATTATTTATTAGCAGTAGTAGTAGTAGTATGATTCTCTAGAACATGCTCAATGAAACGACTTAAATTAATTTAAATAGTACATCGCCTACAGCACTAAAGTTCAACAAATTTGGTTCAAATCATCTTCAGACTTATTTAATCTAAATAATTAAATATTACCTATGCAATAATGTGCTAATGTATTAACCCCAAAATAATTCAAAAAAAACAATCAAATCAATCTGCTTTACCTCATGTCTTTCACCAAACTTAGACAAGGTTGCCAAACAGGAAGTGAGGATTTATGTTTACAATGTTTTGGTCTATTGAGAAAAAGAAAAAAAAAAACATATAGCCTATAACAGTCCACTAGCATCAGTTCCTGAGCAGTTTGCAAACCCAAACTACTTTATCGGTTTATAACTTCTGATTTGTTTGGCCTAAAGTCACGACCCTTAGTCAGCCATATTGGAACATATTTATAAACCCTACTTTTGCAAAACTCCCATAGAACAGGTCGTCGCTTCTTCACCAAATGGAGATCAAATCAAATTCAGCTGGACAGAGATATCAAATGTTTCCTCTTTACATTGCAAAGTTCTCACGTAACATGTCAACAAGTTTGACAGCAAGCACGCCAAACACGACTGAGGCTGTATCTCAGCAATGTTTTGACATATTGACATGAAACTTTATTTGTGACACTGGCACACTGTCCTGACAAAAACTACCACGTGAATCTCTTAGTTCCATCTATTAGTAAAGCTATTTTACATGAGTCATTTAAGATCATGCACATCAGCAAAATACCTTATCCACAAAACAAATAATGGACTTAATCTGAGTGGCAATAAATCTACTGTTTCAGGAGGACACGAAAACCCATCGTGTTATTTGGAACACGATGAAGCGATTACACAACTGATTTGCTAATATCACAAAAATAAACACCAGATGAAATATGTAAACAAGCAGAGAGATGTGATCTGCTGCATTGAATCTTGAATGATGTGCGATTCAAATACATTCCTCCTCTGGTCTTCTTAAGGACTCGACGGATACACACACTGTGCCTGAAGCAAACACTTCACAATCTTTCAATCTCCGCTCGCTTAAGTGCAGCAAAGTAGTCGATAACAACAGCGCACACCGGACAAGTGCGCAGCTTGCCAAGAGCCTTTACGCACCGGTTTTATCACTCACCTGACTGCCCGCTGCTCCTCTGAAGCACCGCAAACGTGAAGACCAGGCAGAAGAGGAGAAGGAAGCGAACCGGCCACATTTCTGCTTATTTTAAGAAGTTATATCCCCACACATTAGCATGATCAATAGAGAATCCGGGCATTGACAGTCCAGCGTCTGAGTCTCCAGCGCGCGCACTCACTCACGTCTTCGTTTCAGAGCACATCCTTTGTCAATAATCACAGCTGGACTGTTTGGCTTTTTGGGCTGTTAGCTGTTTTTTTTAAGTAATTGTGGTTGATTATCCGGACTGAAGGACTTGTAACCATTTCATTACCTCGATGGATTCACAACTTCGGTTTGAGCGTAAAGACACGCCCATTTTGTGCGGAGCACCGCCTATCTGATATGGGAATGGTCAAAAGATGCGTTTTAGCAGACGAGACCACGCCCTCCATATGGCTGTTTAGCATATACACCTGCTATGTCAGGATTTTGAATTTGTCATGACAAAGAGGATGAACAAATATGAGGATCTTCTTGGGAGGTATTCACCTCATTTATTGTGTATATTTATGTTTAATATACTTTTTATGGCTAATCAAACAATCTTACGATGTCTGAATATTATACTTCTACATAAAGACAACAGATTTTGCTCCAAATATTGAGAATCTCTATTGTTTATTGTTATGTGCTGACTCAAGCAAGTAAAAAAATTAAAAATACAAATAAAAGCCGCAGTAGGCAAGGTGACAACAAAAGACAATTGCAAACTATTTATGGAAATATGTTGGAATTATTTATTTATTTATTTATTTATTTATTTATTTATATTTTTTTATCATTTTTTATTAATTCATTATTTATTATTAAATAATTATTATTTATTGAATTTATTTGTTTTATTTATTGATGTACTTATTTATTCATTTATTTTTATTAAAAATAAAAAATAAAAATGTTTTGACAACCAGAAACAAAAAAAATCTAGAAATGACATATACATGAACTAGCTTTATTATTATTATTATTATTATTATAAATATTATTAATATTATTATTATTATTATTATTGGATAGTTCTTATTGTGGATCTCATTGGATATGAATGAAATATAATTAGTGGATATGTTTGTATTATTATTATTATTATTATTATTATTATTATTATTATTATTATTTGTATTTGTATTGATTGTGCATTTCTTTGTTTAGAGACAGATCTATCAGGTAAAAAAAAAAAACTACTTAATAATACTATTAAATTTATTGATTTCCAGATTAAAAAAATAGTAATAATGTCAAAATACATTCCGTAAAATATATATTTTTTTCTTTTTTTAATAAATTGTTCCTCCCTCTGATTGTGTCCTAGATTCCAGTGTGATACAAAGTGATAATATAATTAAGTAAATAAATAAATAAATAAAAATAAAAAATACCATTATCAAGCAAAAAAACTAACAGTTTTTTTTTTACTTATAAATTATTAAAATTATATCAGATTATATAAGGTTTTACCGTGCCCTAGTGTGACCAGGAGGATCAGTCTATTATAATTAGCCACACTGAGCTTAACATTCTAGAGAGTTGAAATCATTTTGATTCTCTCCATATGAGTTGGTTCCAGTATATGATGTGGCACTGATGCATCTGTGTCTTGCTGAACTCTATTAACCTGTTCAGTCCCTAACCACTAGAGGCCCTCACATAACAATCAAGCATGAGCTCTTAATAGTGACTCAGCAGGACCAAACCAGTTCACTCCGAGAGCACTGATCTTCTTCACAGCAGGTCTCTCACACAGTTGAAGCTGAACACACTATATGCTTTACATTCCCTTGTTTTCTTTATACCTTTTTTTATGCTTGTTGGAGCTTATTAGCGGAGTGTAATGTGGTGTTGGTAAGATGAAAGAAACAGAAACAATAAAACAACAGAATTAAACAATAAACAATTAAAATAAAAAATAAAAATTGTTTACTATTATTATAATTTTTATTGATCTCAAAGAAAATGCTGCAATTTTTTACTTACCTAATTACAAATCCAAACTGTTATTACATTTCTAAATGTAATGACACCAATGGATGTATATAACGTTAAAAAATAAATAACAAAAACAATAATCTATATTTTTTAACATATTAAAATATTGTTTATTATGAGGGCATGGCAAGTTTATTTATATAGCACATTTCATACACAATGGTAATTCAAAGTGCTTTACATAAACATAAATACAAGAAACAGAAGAAAAAAAAAACGGAATAAAAAATAATATAAACAAATTAGAAAGGCATGATAGTGTGTTTAAAAATAAGGTAGGCGTAGGTACCCACATATCCAGTTAGCGCTGTCACCTCACTGCAAGAAGGTCGCTGGTTCAAAGTTGGCATTTCTGTGTGAAGTTTTCGTGTTCTCTCCCTCTTGGCGTGGGTTTCCTTCGGGTCCTCCGCTTTCCCCTACAGTCCACAGACATGCGCTACAGGTTAATTGAATAAGCTAAATTGGCTGTATTTGTATGTGTGTGAATGCAAGAAGGTGTGGGTGTTTTCCGGTGCTGGGTTGCGGCAGGAAACGCATGCGCTGCGTATTAACATATGCTGGATAAGTTGGCAGTTCATTCTGCTGTGGGGACCCCTGATTACTAAAGGGAGCAATTCAAAGGAAAACAAATGAATAAATAAATATTAAAAATACTTTAATAGATACAAAATACAGATTAATGTATTGTTTGTTTTTTAGAAAACATGTTTTTTTTCTGTCAAATAAAGTCAGAACATGTTTTATTAAATGAACAAACTAGTAGTTTTCTTTTAAATTAATATTATTTAATTTTAATAAAACAAATTCAAAGGCATACATTTGTTTTTGATGTTGTTTTGTAAGGAATGTGTGAGGTGATTTAAGTGACTTTGAAAGTGGCATGGTTGTTGATACCAGAAGGGCTGGTCTGAGTTTTTCAGAAACTGCTGATCTACTGTGATTTCCACACAAAACCATCTCTAGGGTTTACAGAGAATGGTCAGAAAAAGAGAAAATATCCAGTGAGCGGCTGTTCTGTGGGAACAAATGCCTTGTTGATGCCAGAGGTAAGAGGAGAATGGCCAGACTGGTTCCACCAAATAGAAAGGTAACAGTAACTCAAATAACCAGTCGTTACAACCGAAGTCTGCAGAAGAGCATCTCTGAATGCACAACACATCCAACCTTGAGGCGGATGGGCTACAGCAGCAGCAGAAAAGCATTGCCTGGTCTGACGAGTCTCGATTTCTGCTGTGACATTCATTAGGAAATTCAACACATTTTTTTTTAGTTGCTAATTTATACAAATTTATATGAGTTCAGATGTATGAAAATGCATGATTATTCAAGGAGGTGTGTCACCAAACTCCACCCCTAAACATAACTGTCAACGGGTGATGAGCAAATCATAGACTCTACAAATGAGATAATACAAATTCATATGAATTAGCCACTGAAGAAAAAATTTACAAATCTGCATGAGATAGTTTTGAATAGCTTTAAATTACTTCCACTGACCAATCAGAATCAATTCCAGCCAGCCGTGTAATAATATATATGTTGTTTTGAATTACAACAATATGACAGTATATTGCTGATTTTTTAAAAATGAAAATAAATTGACCTTTGAGGCTGTACAGTGCCTCTGTGGTCAGCACTGTCGCCTAACAGCAAGAAAGATGCTGGTTTGAGTCCTGGCTAGGCCAGTTGGCATTCCTGTGTGGAGTTTGTATGCTCTCCCCGTGTTGGCTGTGGGTTTCCTCCGGGTGCTCCGGATTTCCCCACAGGTAAAAAAACATGTGGTATAGGAAATTTGGATGAACTAAATTGTCCGTAGTCACCAATTGACAAAAGTGTAGGGAAAAAAAAAACCTAGAGAGAAACCAGGCTCAGCAGGGCACAACCATTTTTCCTCTGGCCAAACTTCTTGTGCAGAGCTGCAGTCTAGGTGCCGGAGCCTGGATAATGCTGGATGAATATCGTAGAGAAGCTGCAGGTGCAAGTATGTCACTGGCGGATGTTAAGGCTGGCCCACAGGATCAATGCGAAAACTCGACTGTCACTGGGGTCTTTCAGGAATCAGTCTCATGCTCTCCTTGACCGCCACTACCTCTGCTCAGGATACGGCCTGGTCCAGGATTGCGCCCCATTCACACAGGGCGTCAGCTTCAACGCTTCCTATTCACTTAGAATGAGTGACGTCAGGCACTGCCAAACTGCACTGTGGATCCGTCGGCGCCGCTTCAGAGGCGTTGCTTGCTGCAGAAGTTGAGACTTGATAAATTTTTCAAGCGTCGACGGAAGCGTCAACCAATTAGATCGCTGTATGCAAATACACCAGCTCAGACAGTGGCCTATTGCTGACTAATTTCATTGGCTGACGCTGCTATAACGATTGTGTCAGCCCTTAACTTCAGACACGCCCTCTGTCAAGCGTTGACGCTGAAGCCCGGTGTGAATGGGGCGTTGGCATCATCTCATCATGAGATCAAATCAATGGCACTGCACATGCTGTATGTGTGAATGCTACATTTTACAATACATGTGAGGGTGTATGATGTTTACCAGTACCAGGTTGCGTCTGGAAGGGCATCCCCTGCATAAAACATATGCCGGAATAGTTGGCGGTTCATTCCACTGTGGCGACCCCTGATGTATAAAGGACTAAGCCAAATGAAAATTAATAAATTATTTTTTTAAATACAAAACAGAATATAAATGGTTAGTGTTACAGTAGATGGTTAGTGTGATATTTCTTATTCTGCAGAAAACAGAATAGAGTGTTAGCAATAGAAGGTCAAGTGCTGATGAAAAAGATTAATCTTTAGCCATTTCTTTGGGCATGACTAAAGACTCATCTGACAATAGAAGCAATCAAGATCAACAAAAGAGCAATGATGCAACTCCTATAACAAGTCCCAGGATGGTCGAACGCATTACACAGAACAAGGGTTTTACAGAACAGGAGAATAAAAGAATAAAGAGTGTGTTAGCTTTAGACAATAAAGAGTAAAACACTTCAATAAAAACTGAGCAAACGCACTCATGTCCACTCTCTGAAAACCTAACAGCGGCTCTATGATGAACTGCAGAAGGCCACTGAGGGGTTTTGTGCAGATCAATACGTTTCACTGTTTCTTTTAGGACAGAACAGGGCTTTCACATGAGGAAGAATGGCTTCGGGCCAGTAATTCCTCGCCACTTTCTGCTCTTCAGACTCGGAGGTGAAGGTCAAGAGAAGTCCACATTTACTGGCAGGGTTTATAAAGGCAAACAGATCCTATTGATCGATTTTTGACTCACCCTTGACTTCTTCACCCTTGATTTGTATTCAAAATTCTTTCAAAGCAAACTTTTATGATTAAATCGTGATCAAACACTTTGCTCTCGCAAGACAACAAGTTCAAGCCTTGCTATTTTATACATGCGGTTGGAATTTGAATGCTGATAATCAGTCTTTTATTTTATGCTGGCGGGTTTTGCATATGCACATTCTTAATGCT